CGGGGTAGAACCACGCTCTCACAGAATACCAGCGTAAAATAGCAGCTTAATCCTGCTTTGTTTCGTATGGTGAGTGTAGAGAACCGGAGACCCTTTTTACTGGAAAAGAGGCATTCCATCTTAGTCCTCACGGGTGACAACGCATCTGCATTTTGATTCGCAAACGAGGATAAATGTAGGTGTCTATGGGCCACAGCAACCACTTACTATCTGGTGGACTGTGTGCTCGTTTGTCATCCTATCATATAAAAAAAAAATAATCTTATACAGAAACGTAGGCTGACTATTATATTCAATACAGCAAAAAATATTACAGAGAAATAACTATGTAGTAGAGAGCGATTCAAATACGCGGCCCTCAGCGCAGTAACACATTGCCAAGCTCCTGTGACGCGGAGCTGGCATTGACGAGCATGAGATGGTAAAACTGGTTTGTAGTTTTCGGACTCGCATCCCTCAATGATGGAACAGGCTTTCATGCTGCTACGCATTTGTTTGTTCAAGCGGGATATTTTTACGTATTTTGGTGACAGTAGGACACAGATGAAAGTCCTAAGTAAGTAAGTTATACGTGGTAGAGCCACGCTGCAGCCATATTACGGTTGAAGTAACTGGGTTGTCTCGACCGAGGAGGGACCACGCTCTCACAGAATACCAGCGTAAAATAGCGGCTTAACGCTGCTGTGTTTCGTATGGTGAGTGTAGAGAACCGGAGACCCTTTTTACTGGAAACGAGGCATTCCATCTTAGTCCTCACGGGTGAGAACGCGTTTTCATTTTGATTCGCAAGCGAAGATAGATGTAGATGTCTATGGGCCACAGCAACTACTTACCATCAGGTGCACTGTGTGCTCGCTTGTCACCCTTATTCTATAAAATTAAGTCGGGACTGTCTTGGAAAGTGGGACTTATTGGTCACGTTAGTTATACCGCAATCCATTGAAAGTTATAAAATCTTTCTGCTTTTTCCCATAGTTGCTTCTTAGGACATCCGTGTGATGTCCTAAGAAGCAATCCTTCTTAATCGCTACAGTCGCGAATCATATTTTGTTAAATATACAACCGGACACTGACCTGCAAATTCCAAAAAACGCAAGAAATTTCAATTTCGCGGGCCACCCTGGAGCTTCCATCTTAATATAAACATCTTAAGACGAGGCCTGGGATTCGACTTGATATTAAAATTGATTTGGAATAAAAGAAAAGGAGGATCTCAATTCGTAGAATTTTTTTATTTTCAGCGATAACTCTAAATACCTGTTTCTATCTGTTATCACTTATTAAAAACAACTTTAATAATTTCTCTGATATAAACTGCAGGAAAATTAACATACCACCTACGCTTTAATGTATTATTATGTTATTATTATCACACGGGCAAACGCAGGTGCAGAAGCTAGTTCTTTAATTTATACAAATAAATAAAATTCAAGTGTCTGTTTGTAATGTCAAAATAACAGATTTTTACTTGTACATGAAAGTATATACTGTACTCATAGAATTATTACGCATTTGCATAATAATTCTATGGCTGTACTTATAAAAAAAAATTGTCTGTCTCTTTGTTCCAGCTAATCTCCGAACTGGCTGGACCAATTTTGACGAGAATTTCATTACCAGATAGCTGATGCTATAAGAAGTAATTAAGGTTACTTTTCTTTTAGAAAAAGAATTAGGGTACCGCGCAAAAAAATCCTATGCAATCAAATTAAAAAAAAAGAAAAAGAAAAAAATAAAAAGAATTAAAAAAAATTGTAATAAATTCCACGAGGATGAAGCGCCGGGAAACAGTATGATAATATAATGAAAAATAATATTATTCCACATAAATAAATAAACACATTATTAGATAAAAATCAATTTATTTAATTTTGTTTATTGTGTATATATATATAAAGTTGATAACAAAAGAAAAAAATAGAAAACGATTATTAACTACTTTGAGTAAGAAACGCTGGGAATATAAAATAAGTCCGTAAAAACTAGTTTCATTTAAGTATTATGATTAAGGTCGTATGTCTTCATATATCACAAGCAGTTCATCTAAAAATTAACTTAACCTGCACAGAACGTCATACATTTTGTGGACTACTTCTGTGCCACCAAACCCAATGTAACAGGCGTTGTGACTTGGATGCACTTTTCCGGGAGTTATGGATAGTTGGTGCCTCGCTCTGCCCACATACAGCGTCTCGCCTGAAACCGTTCTACCACCAGGTATCGCGCCAGGTGGTACGTTACCGTTAGAAGCTGGAACCCATCTAAGGTTTTCAGGTCTTGCGCAAAGAACCTCAATATTCTGTACTGGTATCTCTTTTCCGCTATACGTGACCGTGGCTGCATTGTGTCTCACAGATAGCTTGCCGGGAATCAGGTCTCCATTGTGCCAAGCTCGAATCACCCAAAGCGGACTTCCGTCCCATCCTTCGTGGCCTCCTAAAACTGCTTTTCCCGTGAGATGCCCAGCTGTAGTCGCTGTTGTAGGTACCCAATCGAAGTCTCCAGATGTTTCCGCAATCTGTACCTCTGATCCTGTCGTTGTGTTTGATGATTCACCGTGATATATATAGTTCGTTACATATGTTGGCTGACTCGTATCGTGTGGTACTGGTACAGGAATCATCATTGTTCCAGGTACAAAGTAAGGGTAAGGCGCGGAGGTTTGTCCGTGATCGAACGGGTAATGTGGGGGATGGTGAGCAGGAGGGTAATGTGGAGGTTGTGGCGGAGGATGGTGTGGGTTTGGAGTATAAGGCCACGGCGGAGGAGGTCCGTAGTATGGAGGAGGTGGCCCTTGTGGTGGATAGCTCATTTTGACGTCACAATCACTCCACGCAGTTATAAATTGAAAGTACTAAGGAATGTTCTTTCATAATACATTTTATATGCCGCGATCGGCAGCTATAATCTTATCACTTGTCTGATAAAGATATCGCCAGTCCGATACCTTGATGCTTTGAATCATATAATACGTAAAAATTAGTCATTGTATGGCACTGAAAACTATTTTGATTACCTGTAACCTGTTTGAAACATGGTATTACATATTTCAGCGTGATAGAGCCATGCTGCAGCTACATTATGGCTGCATTATGAATCTGCTCGACAGTGGTAGGACCATGCTCTCACAGAATGCAAGCGTAAAATAGCAACTTAATGCCGCTGAGTTTCGTATGGTGAGTGTAGAGAACCGAAGACCCTTTTTACTGGAAACGAGGCATTCCATCTTAGTCCTCAGAGGTGATAACGCGTCTGCATTTTGATTCTTAATCGAAGATAAAGCTAGATGTCTGTGGGCCACAGTATACACTTACCATTAGGTAGACTTATGTGCTCATTTGTCAACCTTATTCAATAAAAGAAATCAGTCGTACCGACGTTCCTTTTTTAGTAGATAACAAATAAATAATTGATGGAACACAACTGTTCTATAAGCATAGAAAGATTAATAGAAAAACAGAAAAATAAAACGATATTTATCATAAAATAGTTTATTTTTTAATTATACCCCTTAATACAATGTAATCAAAACACAGTTGATAAAATAAAATTTTATGAATGTTATCGCGTTTAATTTTTATTCCTGATTTGAAGTTATATGCAGCACCTTTAATGAGGACCCCGACTTCGGAAATTCAAAATAAATAAAAGAACGCAATGGAATCCGTAAAATTATTTTTATTCGCTGTATGTTATTCGTGTAAATAAAAGAAATTATTTTAAAACAAAATTATTGAAAGACTTAAGTAACAAAATAAATTAATAACCTTTGAGTTTGGAAAAATTTTCATTTACACTAAAAAGAGGAAGCTTCTAGAAAGTATACGCTCTTCACCATTATATATATATACAAAATTTTACTATAAACAACAGTTTGATTGAAAACTACTACTCTTTATTCATTTTTAAATTAAAGTAAACTAAAAAATAGCCCATATGCATGCAGCTGCTGACTACGAAAAAGTCGACTGTACTTCTTTAATGTGTGTTGGTGGAACTTCACATGCTATTAAAATGTTTTTCATTTCTTAGACATGTTGTACAATAAGTACGAGTCATTACTAAAGAAAGAAAGAGATATACACAAGTCTGGGGAATCAAATCGTTTATCACCAAGATGAATAGAGAAATGTAAAACATGTAAAGGCTGTTCTGAGTTCCTTGCGATTCACGAAAGTAGGCTTAGTTTATTGGTAAAGTACGGCGGTATCCAGTGTCTTAAATGCTTTTAAATAATATTCAGCCGATTTAATTAGAGTAATATGTACAGAACGACGGATTATTTTTTGTCACTGGCATCAGGAGTACGTAGTTTTGACTTAATTTTTTTTTAATTAATTAAAATAATGTTTTTCACTCAACGGACATTTAGCAATTAGATAGCGTAATACTGTTTTTTATTATGAAATTGTATACGATACAAATATATACTGACGTACAAAAAATGTTCGTCTATATCAAATGCTTTCTATAAATCTTTGTTTAAGCGCGCATTCTCCTGTTGTCGTTTATATCGTAAGATCAATTATTCTTATGTTATGAACTCTCAAAATATGCTCCATGGTGCAGTGGTTACGGCACTTACGGCTGTGGGTTCAAATCCCGCAGGGAACAAGTATTTGTATGTCCTATAAATAATTGCTTCGGGTCTAGATATATGTCCTTGTGCAATTTATGTTTGTAAACTGCTTTAACGATACAGGAGAAAATACTAGTTTAACGTGTTTGAAGTGAAAACTTCTTTAGAATCATTGTTATTTGAAAATAGATGAAACGAAAAAGCGACACTAAAAATAAGCCAACATGTATAGGATTTAGCCTACGAAAGAATGAGATAGAATATAGTACACAGTTTTTCCTATTATCTCGGTCTCCTTTTCTGTAGGTTTCACTCCTACCGCATGAGAACTGCACACATGTTTAAAAAAAAATTAAAACAAAACATATAAGTGTCTTCCTTTGATAACTCGGTGACGGTAAAAGATAATGTCATTGGGCCGTCAAGTCAAAACCACAGCGCGGAAAACACACCGATTTCCATCCATAAGTGCTGGCCATACGAATGATTTGATGAGGTCCGAGCGGCGGGAGCTGTTGTGGAGGCGGACATGTCGTTCCGGATTCATTACCACTGGAATTTTAATTTTATTTAATATAAATAAATATAATTGAATTATGTTTATTACTCATTCAAATAAGTTTGTGTGTGTGTGTGTGTGTGTGTGTGTGTGTGTTTGTGTGTGTATGAAAGAGAGAAAGAGTAGTAGAGCCACGTTGTAGCTATATTATGGTTACAGCATGATTGGAGTATGATAGAATCTAATATTTTCAATCCTATTCTTTATTCGCACGGTTAGAAGGTGGGTGTGGGTGTACGTGTGCGTGCTTGTGTGTGTGTATGTACGTGTTTGTGTGTGTGTGTAAGAGAGAGAGAGAGAGAAAGATAGAAAGGGCGGGAGAGAATGTAAGTGTGTGTGTGGGTGCGTGCGGGTGACATTCACGTTCAGATCTACGAGTTGCGTAAAGTATGGGTTCCAGCGATAGCCGCTGCGAATGAGAAGGTATGTGAGTATAAGCGTGCATATGTGTGTGTGCGTAATTGTACGTGCGTGCGTAAGTGTACGTTTGTGTGCGATTTCGTGTATGTAGATACACGTGTGCGAAAGTTTTCATGCGTGTGCATGTGGATATGTACGTGTTTGTATGTGCGTATATGTATGTACGTGCACGTACCGGGCGTGAAGTCGGTGTCGATGCGCAGCGGCGGCGCGCGCGCGGCGAGCGCCCAGGCGGCGCGGCAGCTCGCGGCCGCCAGCGCGTGCAGCGCGCCGCACGACGCCAGGCACGGGTACTCGCGCAGAGTGCTCACAACCTTGCCGTCGTAAGCATCGTACAACATGCTTAACTTTACATTTATAGGATAAATTACTCGGCTTTTGGAATTACTAGGCTACGATTACTGTGCATGCAAGTTGTAACGAATTCGTCAGACTCAGTTAATCCAACTTCGATCGAAAAATCAATCGACAGATCGTAACAGCTGGGTAGCATTTTTTTTATAGGATAAGGGTGACAAACGAGCACACAGTCCACCTGATGGTAAGTGGTTGCTGTGGTCCATAGACATCTACATCTATCCTCGTTTGCGAATCAAAATACAGATGCGTTGTCACCCGTGAGGACTAAGATGGAATGCCTCGTTCCAGTAAAAAGGAGTCTCCGGTTCTCTACACTCACCATACGAAACACTGCAGTATTAAGCTGCTATTTTACGCTGGTATTCTGTGAGAGCGTGGTCCTTCCCCGGTCGAGCTGACCCATTCGTGCTACAACTATACCAGTAATATAGCTGCAGCATAGCTCTACCACGTACAAAAGCATTTAGAGCATTACGCTACATTTGCAAACTTAACAACAAGAGTGTGCAACAGATATCCGCAGTAGAACCAGAACGACCGACATCGCCCAACTAATCAATAATCTGAAGTGGAAATACTACACACACACACACTACAACAATAATATTCCAAGTTGATTTTAAAAGTGCACATACAAGCCCTCATGTAACTTACGATCAGGTAAACAGTGTGCTCGTCACTCTTATTCTATAAAAAAAATACACATGATAATGAAATGTTATAGGAAAAAGTTTGCCAAAAATTACCTGATTAATAACAGTTCTCTCAGCTTCGCCTAGTGGGAATGTGTGCGCTGTGCTCCTCAAAAGGCGCATAGCGGAAGCCACAAAATTGGCTGTAGCGGGTGACGAGTCACCTTCGGCGCCCAAAAGCGCCTTGACTTCAGCAATACGCTTGTCTCGTAGGCTGATTGTAGCTCGGAACGACAGCTGAGGAAGTCCAATGTTTGAAATAAGAAGTTTAATGAAAGTTATTCAATCAGGTGTCTACTCGTTATACGGCAGCTATGGCCTTCTGGAGTTAAATTTCTTTATATTAATATATTTGAATAAAACTACTTTTACGGATTCTATCGCGTTTAATTATCTCGTTTTTTATTGATTCCCGACATTTCGGGTACTTTACAGCACCCATAGTCACGAGGGACTGAGGTGAAAAGGTTGGTTTAAAAAAAATCCTAATGTCAATAGAGAGGGAGGCTGGGGACTACCACCTGCTTGGGATCCTGTAATTAATAAAATTTAAACTAAACCCAAGCATACCACTGCAAGACTTCAAGACACAGTAAGTTCCTTCTGCGTAGATCGGACCAAAATTAATAATTAAAAAATCTGAAGCTACTCCGGGTTAACTCTGACATCGGGACGTCAATCACCTCAGTCCCCCGTGACCAGGGGTGCTGTAAAGTACCCGAAACTTCGGGAATCAATAAAAACAAGTTAATTAAACGCTTTAGAATATGTAAAGTAGTTTTATTCAATGTGTTGTTGTAATTATACGAAATCATAATGGAATATTTTTTTAATGATCAAACGTCTGAAGACCTGAAAACCAATGAGGAAATATAGGTTTACGAGTGAACTCATAATAGCAATCATAACATGTTATTACACAATAAACCAGTGGAGTGTAGTGCAAGACGTATATATCCGGCTCGAAGGACCATTAAAATGTAGGGTTTAGTACTGAAGTAGTTTAGATATTGACTTCTAGAGAAAGACCACAGTAGCTATGTAATGTGTCATCTACTTAGCGCACAGAAACAAACGGGGATCCATGATAGCACGCACGGCTGGTAAGTGACCTCAGTGAGCATGAAGGCATTGACTTGCCTAAATGCATTTTTGCAATCCCAAACGCATACATTATGCAATTTATAGCTAACAGCTTTTTATAAGTTTGTTTGAGAATTATTTAAATGTTACTGGTGGCGCTTAAGAATATCCACTACCCTATATCTCCCCGTGGGTGTCGTAAGAGGTGATAGAGGGAAACTGAGGCAGGAGATGGGCAGCAACATCATTCTAATGACAGCAAAATAACATACTCACTAAGCGTGACAACTATGGCAATATGGGGAGTATGGCGAAAGCTACAAAAAAACGGCCCCAGTCCCCGGCGGTTCAGCTATTCCTGGCTACGGTGGCAACCATGGTATGTTATGTATGGTGCTGAGTACTGACGAGAAGATGACGAGGAACTGGAAGAAGAGATAAACACGTTGCGCTGGGATATTAAAGGACTAACTGATATAAATATCTCTCTATCTAAAGTCCAAAGAATCAGTAATCCTCGAATCCGGCAACATATTCGATAAAACTCGCCCTGTGGGTTATCACCCGAAGGGCACCATCACACCATCTATCTTCAGGAGGTGTCGGATTCATCGCCAACAAGACTCTTCAACAACGTTGTAAAGATTAGGAGTGTGTCGTTGAGGGCTACATACATTATACTCAGAATCACCAAAGGATATTTGCTGAAGTTCATACAGTTTTACGCACCAACTAACACATCCTGATGAGGAGATGGAGCAAATGTATGAGCCTCATTCCTCCAAACCAACTATACGGTGTTAATAGGAGAATTCAAAGCAAAAATAGGCATAAGAGGAAACAGTGAGCTGAAGGTGGGTTGTAATAGTGGAAATACGGGGTTGGGCAACGGAACCCAAGAGGTCAGCAGGTGGCCAATTTCATGGAAAGATGATGAACTCATTTTTTTCACTTCTATGATGAACTCTTTCTTCTAGAAGCGGCCCCACAAAAAGACGACTAAACACAACTGTTCAGCGATGTCACATTGATCGCGAGGTTGAAAACGGCACACAACCTAAACGCTAAGTTGAAGAGAACACGTCTAATAAAGTCAACACTCCGTCTCCCTCGAACTCTAACCAAAACCCCAAAACACTTCAGCTCAAGTTACAAAATCGTATTCAGTGTGTCCAGAGGACTGCAATTCGACTAACAAGCTCGTGGAAACTGTCCATGTGGTCGGTGTTAAGTTCTGCAAAACCCGTCACAGAATAACTCTCCGACCACACTTCTGACACACACTGAACAGACAGATCTCCAAATATATGCGGCGGGACTTACGCAACTTTAATACAACTCGTATTGAAGAAACGATCGAGCAGAGACAATGCTCCAAAGTCTTTTCCAGATATCTATCTTCCAGAAAGACCCAACTTTCGAGGATGAAGACCGCATGTGGTAGCATCGCTTTCGGGCCACCTGAGATTTTGAATGTGATAGAAAGGTTCTATGGGGAGCTGTAAACGTTATCGTCGGAGCCACGGAGATCGTTGCTTACACTTGCACACGCAAGTGTAAGCAACGATCCAAGAGCAAGTCGTATTCGACACTATTCCGATGTTATCCTAGACGTTAGTCTAAATAGGAATAGAATGGCTCTCCATCGCCTTAAAAAAGGCGAGGATGGAATTGCAGCGGAGCTTCTGAAAACTGGTGGAAAACCAGTACTTGAAGTCCTTCAGAAGCTCTTTAATTCCATCATCCATGGTGGCACTTCTACGGACGCGTGGACCAGAATTACGGTAATAAAGAGACAATGCTCTTTTTTATGAACTACACACCGATTTCCCTCATGAGCCGCGTGTACGTTCTGTTTTCGAGGCACTAAAAATTTATTTATTTAGATATTTACCACTTTTATTTATGACACAATACAATTTGTTCCTAATTAACAACTATAACTTATATTTGAGGTGGAAATTATCAATTACAATATTTATTTTATACGAAATTATTTGGGAGCAAATTATTTAACTATTTGTCACCGGGGTTGCCACAGCAAAAAAAAGAAAAAAAAATATAGGGCAATCCAGATCCAACGGTGGTAGAGCCCTGCAGCAGTTTTTTGCTGTTGCACGTTTGGGCCGGCTCGAGCCGGGTTGGTACCACGACCTCACAGAATACCGGCGTGAAGTAGAGGCTCTGCTTCTGCGTTTCGTCTGGTGAGTGCAGGTGGCCGGAGGCCCAATTCCCCCCCCCCCCCCCCCATCAACATGGTAGCGGAATTAGACAATAGACTACCCCAGGAGGGTACCAGTACCCTTGGAGAATCCCTCGCTGAGCATCCACGACCATGTTATTCCAATCCTGAGCGTGGGTGCTCAGGCTGCCCCGCGTATTCTGGGGGGGGGCAAAATTCCGCTCAAAAACAAAACTGCTCGGGGCAAGCTGAGCAACAATACCAAGGCGACCCCTGCCACGCTATCCGTGAATTTCTGCAACATCAGGGGACTTCACTGTAACCTAAACGCCGTCCACTACCATCTCGAGACGGCGAAGCCGGCCTTGCTCTTTTTGACCGAGACGCAGGTTTCCTCTCCGACTGATATTTCGTATCTCTCCTACCCGGGGTACAAATTGGAGCACTCCTTTGTGCCTCGGGCTGGAGTTTGCGTGTATGTTAGAGAGGACATCTGTTCTCGACGCCTCGGCAGTCTTGAAGGTTCGGACCTGTCCATCCTTTGGCTACGCGTAGACAGCGACGACCATCCGCGCGTCTACGGGTGCCTCTATAGGTCCCATAGCGGTAATGCCGAAACAGACCGACTCATCGACCACGTCCAAATGGCTACAGATTCCTTGCTACAACAGGTCCCATCCGCAGAGATCGTGATCCTTGGCGATTTTAACGCCCACCATGCCGAATGGCTCGGTTCACGTTTAACCGATCATGCGGGGAGATCTGTTTATGACTTTGCCTTGGCATATGGTCTGACACAACTGGTTACTTCGCCTACGCGGATTCCAGATGTGGAGGATCATACACCTTCCCTGTTGGACCTTCTGCTGACCTCTCATCCGGACGGATATCAGGTTTCCGTCGATGCCCCTCTCGGCTCTTCGGACCATTGTCTGATCCGGAGTATGGTGCCACTCACGCTCCCTTCGCGGTTGCGTTCTGCAGGTTGCCGCCGTGTTTGGCATTACAGGTCGGCGGATTGGGATGGAATGCGGTCTTTCTTTGCATCCTACCCATGGGGGCGGGTTTGCTTCTCGCCGGATGATCCCAGTGCTGTTGCTGACTCTGTCACTGATGTGGTGCTACAGGGAATGGAACTATTTATTCCATCATCTGTGGTACCCATCGGAGGCAGATCTCAGCCTTGGTTTGGTCGCTCCTGTAAGACTGCATTGCGCAGTAAGCAGGAGTGTTATCAAGCCTGGGCTGCAGCTTCGGTGACTCGGGATGTAAACACCAGCACACTTAAAAAGAAGTATAACTTCGCCTCCAGGTCCTTCAAAAGAGTTATTGCCAAGGCAAAGTCAGAGCACATAGGCAGAATTGGCGAGAAACTAGTTCGCCTTCCTTCGGGAACCCGTGCATTCTGGTCTCTCGCCAAGGCTGTCCAAGGGAATTTCTGTAAGCCATCACTACCATCTCTGCACAGGGAGGATGACTCACTGGCCCATGACGCAAAAGACAAAGCCGACCTTTTAGGCTCCCTTTTTGCGTCCAACTCGACTCTTGATGACGGGGGGAAAACACCGCCGACCATCCCGCGGTGTGAGTGCTCCATGCCGGATGTGCTGTTCTCACAGCGCTCGGTTCGCAAAGCACTGCTCTCCCTGGACATCCAGAAGTCGAGTGGGCCTGACGGAATCCCCCCAATTGTGCTGAGGACGTGTGCTCCGGAGTTGGCACCGGTCCTAACGCGTCTTTTCCGGTACTCCTACTCCCAAGGCGTAGTCCCGAATTCATGGAAGACAGCTTTTGTCCACCCGATCCCTAAAAAAGGCGACCGCTCAGACCCGTCCAACTATAGGCCTATCGCGATCACCTCCTTGTTCTCCAAAATAATGGAATCCATTATTAACTGCCAGCTCATCCGGTACCTTGAGGATCACCAGCTGATTAGTGACCGCCAATACGGTTTTCGTCGGTGTCGATCAGC